GAAAGCGAGATCCTGCATTATGTCCTCTAGCTGTAACATCAGTCATTTTTCCCTTTCGCAGAGAGTCGGGGCAGATCTGCAGGCTCGTGTCAAAGGGGACTTCAGAGCTCTCCATCAGATCCTGCACGATGAGGAGACCTGCATGTTGGAACAGCTAAGGAGAGAGCAGGAGGAGGAGCTGGAGAAAGTCCAGCGCCACCTGGAGGCCATCGAGCTGGTCGTGAGGGAGCTCGAGGACAGTATGAGGGCGCTACAGCGGGCTAGCGCGGACACTGAGAGCGTCGTACTGACTGAGGTGAGATCTCGGCTCAAAGTGGCCGTAGATCACATCTGATCTTTAAATAAAACCCAGAGCGTCATCTCATTTGACATCTAATTTTGCATCCATTTGAAAACACCAGCTCTTAATTCGATTGTGTTTTCTCTCATTTCCTTCTCTGTAGCTCCCGCAGCTAAGGTAAGTGTTCATTTTCAGTGTTATGACTGATTTCGTTTGGCATTGTAGCACCTGTCATATGTGTGTTTGATTACCTTTTCAATTTAGCTTCAATTCGATCGATTCAATTTGTTCTGAGAATGAATGACCCTAAAATGTATTTTTTTCTTTGTTTCAACAGGCCATGTGTGCAGGTGGATGTTGCAGTGGAGTTTGATATAAACACTTTTAGCAACAAATACATGGCCCCCTTGCAGTACATCACATGGAGAAGGATGTTCAAGTCTTTGAAGCCAGGTAATTTTTCCCTCTCATGTGCTTCATTAGACACAAAAAGACATCAGCTTAAAACTGGTTCTGCTTAAACAATGGGAGTAATTATGGAAAAGACTATTATGATATGAAGTGGTAAGAGAGTGACAGTAATAACACCATTGTTCCACTCATTGAATATATCTTCAATGATTGAAGGCACTTAATCAATTTAATTGTGACACTGTTGAATCCTATTGCAAAAAATATGATCACAGTTATCATTCATTGAATTGTTCCACCCAAAGGTCTGTCCCCATTAACGTTTGATGCCGACACGGCGCACCCCAGCATCCACATTTCCAGGGACAAAACCGTGGCAGTCGAATGTGACGTCGCGGTCCCACATACGGACCACAACAAGCGCTTCCTCCAGTGTGTCAACATCCTCGCTGCCCAGGGCTTCCAGTCAGGCCGACACTACTGGGAGGTAGAAGTGGCTTCCAAACCCAAGTGGGACATAGGTGTGGCCTCTGAGTCTGTAGACAGGCACGCTCGGATCAAGCTGAGCCCCGAAAGCGGCTACTGGACGCTGCGGGTTCGCAACGGGAACGAGTACTCCGCCGGCACTCAGCCCTGGACGAGGCTGCGGCTCAGCTCTTCCCCTCAGAAGATCGGGGTTTTCTTAGACTGCGAGGAGAGGAGGGTGTCCTTCTACAACGCCGATGACATGAGTCTGCTCTACTCGTTCACCAACGGGCCGAGGGGCAAGGTGTTCCCCTTCTTCAGCCCATGCATTTGTGACCGCAGTCAGAAACCTCAGCCTATCAAACTCCTCCACTACCCTTCTGTCGCTCTGTCTGGCTAATGTGGGCGGATTCAATCAGTATGTAAGACCTGTCCATTCACTTATCCCCCAATGCCTGTTATCACTCGGCTAATGTAAGACACTGCTGCTATTTGTAGCAGTATGAGTATAACATTTTAGACTGTTCTCATATTTTCCATGCTATAATGATCAGATATTGCTCGATGCTGATGTTTTCCAAATGTGAAATGAACCTTGAAAGCCTTGAAATGTTATGGAAATTGCCATATCTACCATATAAAAATGCCATTGTGCTGTTATCATGCTGAGGAGGCTCATTCATTTTGCAGGAAAAATCAGCAGAAACACAATAAAAACAAATATTCAACCGTTGTAGGTTGAATATAGTGACGCCTGGATGCATCCTATTTACATTACATTTTTAGACATGCTGGATCTTCACTGTTCAACTGAATATTTTACATAGATGGAGATAGTTGACCTTTCAAATGATAATCTGAGTAATTATCTCTCATCATGTCAGACTATCCTTAGGGTCGCTTGTAAAAGGTTTTTTAATCACCATTGAGTTCAATCATTATGAAGGAATTGTGCACTTTATTGTGAGATTTTATATTTGATTAAATGGTTCTTCATGTGTATTACATGAAATGAAACTGCATTTTTATTTCGTATGTAAACTCACAGCACCTTATGAGTTCTTTAGCTGATTTGTAGCAGCTCCTCTTTGATTTGTCATTATTTCACTTACATACATGTGCCTAAATTTGAACACTCGTGATTGTTATTTTTTGATTACTCAAGGATATTACTGAAATGTAGTTCTTTGTAGCACATTTGACATTGTTGTCAATGTGTGCCAATTACGTGTTTGATCATTTCCTGCTAAAGACCCAAACAGTTATTGTAAAACCTGCTGACGCAAATAATAAAGCCAAATCACTTTTTCTTTCCTAAACAAACCTTGTCTTTGATCCTTTTCTGCAGCTGTGACACTGCACACTCTTGTGACCTCACTTGAAATAATCAAGGATGTTATTAAGCATCATCAAAGCAGAACGCGCAATTATGAATATATGAGCCATCTCTGACACTTAAAGAGCATGAACAGGCGGGCTCGGTTATCTTTACAAACATACAAGAGCACCGACGTCCTGTTTCCTCCTGCCAGGTGAAGGGTCAGATAAACAGAGTGACAGTGGGGATGCCTCCGGGCTGCTGGATGGGCCTCAGGGGCATGCTAAAGCAGGATGCTGCTGCCTCCTCTGCAGATTGGAAAAGTGGCACAATGAACTGCACCAGAGGGGAACGTGTGTTTTCCTGCCCAGCGGCCACATTGAATGGGTGCATTTACGACACACTAGTCACTGATTTTGACCTATAAATGTAGATTGAAATCAACTCAATCTGCTGAGTTGAAGAGAGGAAAGACTCTTTGTATGTGGTTCTTTTTGGACCCTATGTCCTCTCTAGAAAAGTATTTTTTTTACAATATTTTTTGTTTTTGTCATTAAATTATGTAATTAAATGCCTTATGAGAGACATTTAAAATTAAAGCTGCACTAATATTAGTTGGAAAAATGACAAACCGATGTGAAAGCAATCGCTTGACGTACCCACGGAGCATTATCATCTGACTCTGTACTTCCCCTGAGCTATACAGTGTGTTTTAGCATCTTTTTGCTGATTGTTTTGGTTTTCTGTCCTGCAACTTTAATGCTTTTGTTCACTCTCACTGCTCTCATGAAGTTCTGTTTCCAGCTAAAATAGTCTAATAAGCCCACTATACATTATCTGCCCCCATATAGCAGACAGTGAGCGACTATAGCTGGTAAACATAGTGGAGCATTTAGCATCTAAAGAGAAATTGTGTTTGCTGCTTGTTTTCGCTGCCCCCAAACGTTCCAGTTAAATTAAAGGACTCAAACTTCAGTTACCATCTGCTTTGAGCTGCAAGAGTTCAGCATCATTGTGGAATTTATTTATGTGCATTAGCTTCATGACTAAATAGTGAATAAATAATGTACTTTAGTAAATAATGCATGTACGCACGCAGCAGCACTGGTCCTACTAGTCTGGAAGCTTGCCATAATAACCGCTGACTGATGGTGAGCATGACCTAGAACTGATGAGAAATTTTGGCTACCTCAATCACAACAAAACAAAAAATAAAAAGTAAAAAAACACGTCCTGAACAGTGACTGCTACTTCAAAGTACCTTGGTAGAGTGCAGTGTACAGTGCACGGGCCCATGGGCATGAATTTTAGTCACAGAGTGAGCATGTTGGATGCTCGCTCCACATCCTTCCTATGATAGTAGCTGTGGACCTGTAATGTGTTTCCTGACCTGAGGATGTGCCGGATGGACTGCTGGCACTTCAAGGACAAGTCCTTGAGTCCTCAGTTGTCTCTCAGGAGCCGGCAGGATTATGAACTGAAACCTTTTCATCTGACACAGCAGGGGCGATCATGCTATCCTGCATGAGGGCTATTGTTTGTTATCACTGTGGTGTGAATGGCTTGTCCCAATGCTTATGTGTGCACATTTATTATTTTACTGGACTCTCAAGTGTTTTCATGCATTTATGATATTACCTGTTTTATATTTGTAATGAGATTTAGTAAGTCCCTGGACATAGGTTTGTTAGACTATCAACACGATTTAGTGTGTTTATTTTCCTCTGAAGCTGAGGTCCCTGTGGGGCTGAAACCAGGAGAACATTTTAATTACAACCATTCAATCACAACATTGTGTTTTAAGGTCAGAGAGGTGGACTGCCGTAAGGGATCTGGGGGGAAACGCATGCCCACAATAACATGCAATGATCCTTTGACTCCCTGTTATTCCACACACTCCTGATGTCCGGTTCTCTGTGGCTCAGAAACCATTGAGAATAACTTAATCAAACTGACAAAAAAAAAGAATGTTCTTCTCATACATCTACATCTGCTGGGTGGACTAGTGCTCAACAGTTGGAAGGAGTCTTGAGTCAACTTATTATTGGTGTAATGGATTTCCATGTATAGATACAGCATAGGATACTATTGATTTTACAGCACGGTGCTGGCAAGCAGACCAGTCTGGGGTTAATTGGGTGAATGAGCAAACTGGTTTTTCTGTGGTTAGACTTGACCTTGCTGCAACATCAGACAATTAATGAATGAAACACACAACCGCACCTGAAACTCTATATGCCTGTCTGTGTTTGTCTGCTTGATCATCCAAGTGCACACCTCTTGTACCCTCTGACTCTTTATATCTGAGTGTATATGGTACATGGGTTTTCAATTTTCAAAATCCCTCCCTGTAAAATAAAACAGGGCTGATAGCGGCTCACTAAAGGGCATGTTGTGCTCTTAGTAGGATGATTTTCATTCACACTCTGACTACTCCCTCAGGAGGGTGGACGTGTGGGCGGACGGGGTTAACAGGACTTAGACAAGGCTGGAAGAACTCTGCGCACTTTAGTTTTATACAGACTCTTAATAGTGAGCTACTCCCAAGGTAACTTTAGTTTGTTGGACGTCAGAAGGAATTTGTGTTTATAAGCACCTAAGATAACTTTTTCTACCTCAAATTGATGGCTGGCATTTGACCTGAGCAGATAAGATTGCATTGACGTTACGGTGTCAGAAGAGTTATAGACTAGGCCTATATAAATTGTTTGGTGGAAAAAAACACCCATCATGTAATATTCTTCTATAATTCCTCCAGAGGCTGTGTCTGTCTTACTGTGGTATGAGTTCAGTTCCTCGCTGTATTCCTGTGGTGGCTTTATAAGAATTTCTGATAGGATTACCTGCTGAGCTTTTTGGATGTCAGGAAGGATTTAAATGCCTTGAAATTAAAATCAATATCAAACAGTTTTGCACCAAAGCAACAACAACTGCTACACTGCATCATACATTCTGCACATGCATATGCACTTTGTGAGATCTTGTTATACTATATAATGAGATAGCACTTTATTACCTTGCACAATGTGATTACAAGTCTTTAAGTCTTTAACACAGAGGATGAAACGAATGGGATGTTTGCAGGAAGGAAATTTGTCATGGATGTTAGGAGACCCCCACCCCCTACCCCCAATACC